TTTTTTTTTTTTTCTCTCGTGTGAAAGTACATATTGTTTTGAGAAAGGTTTAAATATTATCTGATAAAAAAAATATATTGTGAAAAATATAATAAATAAATAAAGGATTTAAAAATATCTGACACTCGATGATTTCAAAAATATTTTAAGACTTTTATTGTTAATATATTTTGTAACGTATGTAGCCACTGGTATTGCGTAAATAAATATCCTCAAAATATAAATAGTGACGTAATCGAAATTGCAAATAAATAAATAAATAAATCTCAATTTGAAATAAATAAATTGAAAATAAACCCTAATAATTCACAAAATTGGTTTTTAATATTCGAACAAATATTTTTTGAATAAAAAAAAAAGATGTGCGTGCTGCCATCTACTCCAAATTGTACAAACTATTGCAGAGTAATTGTTCAAAGAAAGCAACAGAGATGGCAGTGAAATTAACTCAATGATTGCAAGTGTAGGACGTGACGAAATATGTAATCAGCTGATTGGTCTTTTGTTTTTTGTGTTCCAGATAGTACAGAAATAAATTAATCGTGCAAGAAACTATTTTAACATCTAATATAAATACTTGACATTATATTGGGAAAGAAGTTATTAATACATATCTTACAGTAGCTCGTAGTAAGTGATTAAAGATATTCTCAAATTATAACCATATTTTGAGAAATATGAAAACACTGGTATAAGTGACAGATTGAATTTTTAAACAATAGATACAAAAATATGTCCTCCTCGCCCGAGAATGTTGCGATAAAGCAGCCTATTAGGCGCTTAGAAATTCAAATTAATAATTTCAATGTGGCTATACCACATCATGTTGATTTGTTAAAACGACACAAAAGTAACATTCAAAAAGTAAGTATTAAATTAGGTTACTTATTAGATGGTAGATGTTTGCATAATTTCTCTGTCATAGTACCAAACGCAACACGAATGGGAAAAGATGCGCAGGGAACACATGAATGTATCAAGAATTATAAAACAGCTTAAAGAGTTATTATATCAAATGGATACTTTAAGAGCTCACGTTCTTGACTCTGACATTAATCAGTTTGATAAATTGACTGGAAATGCCCGTGAAAGTATCATGAATGCAATCAGAGAATATATGGGTAAAATAAAATTATATCTTGTATCACTTACATTAGCTGAGACGATGGTACAACAACATGCATCTATATGTGTTTGTAGAACTGCAGCTGAATTTGCCCATGTCGCAGCCAGAATCACCCAAAGAAGAAAATCAATCCGAACATCACCCACTTGACGATAAATATATCCAGCTCCAGAAAGAACAGCAGGAACTGCAGCATCAGGAAGCATGTCTGCATGCTTGGAACACCTTGCAAGGAGACATACATCAACTTCATCAGTTATTTGTTGATTTTAATAAAATTGTCGATGTAAATTTTTTAATTTATTTAGATTCATTATTTTGTGGCTGTGTCATAATTTTATACCACATTTTATTCTTTCTTTTTAGGACCAAAAAGAGCTAGTCAATATGGCAGATGAAAACGTAGAGTTAACAAATGTAAATGTAACAGAAGGTGAAAAATTTCTTCAAAAAGCTGCTAGGTACAAAGTTACTATGTATCCTTTAGCAGGAGCTGTAATTGGTACTTGTATTGGTGGACCAGTTGGTTTATTAGCTGGATTAAAAGTTGGTGGACTAACTGCACTAGGTTGTGGTATTTTAGGTAAGTTGTAATATCTATAAAACTGAGTGCACTGTTATAGATACATTACTCTCTGAACAGGATTTACTGGAGCGTCTATATTAAAGAAAAAAGAATTAGAAATGCAAAAATCAAGATCTACAGAGGAATATAGTTTAACTGGACAAAAGACTGTGCAGAAATCAAGGTCTCTGCCGGAAAATTTGAAAGATACAAAAAAAGAATTGTGACACACACAAAAATGTGATACTAACGATAAGAATAAGAAGAAAAATGCCTGCAGTGTTGTTTAACCCCAAAGCACTGATATTAATAATGCAACGTGTGTTGAACTTTACGTGTGTTTAAAATCTACTTTTATTTCTATTCTGTACGAGAAATAAGAATTTCTAAGCTAGGTATTTCCATAAAAATGGCTTGTGATTTATAACAAATTTTTTTAACTATACATAGAACATGACAGACGTATTAAGTTATGTGTTTCTAACGTATAAGAGAAATATTAAATTTTCTGCTGGGACCAAATTTTATTGAAAAGGAAGGTCCTTGACAACAGTTTCTCCATCGCTTGAAAAATAAATCTTTTTATACAGTTGTACGAATTAATGACACGTGTGTATAAGCATCACATATAGACTGTTCCCAACGATAATATTAACCAAACAAAAAATGATATTAGGTTACGTTATTACAAATGTTACATCGAGAACACATATAATTGATTACTTTCTCAGTGAAATGTACTTACAATAATATAAGAATAGTGCGTATGTTCTAGCAAGATTGACGTAAGAGCACTCGCGACGTGTTTTTTATATGCTTCTTACATATGCCTTGTCTGGAAAAAATGTTAGAAATGTCTGGCTTACGCGAAAACCGAGAGCCTATTCTTGCTTGTAAATAATCTTTGCAAATAAACTATTTAATACCACTATACCGAACACCGAAACCGAATTTATGATACAGATCTACGTGACCACGCGTAACGGAACGACTCGATCTACCGCGCGTCGATCGTTTAAACTACCGTTGCGTATCGATCGATATATATATATATATTCGATACAATATGGTGCGAGTTTCACGCGGAAGTTTCCTTGTTTACACACATGTACACGAGTTTGTGAAGTAAACGCACTGTGAAATAAGCAATTGCTCTTGGAATATCTACTGTATTTACATATTTGAAAGCAAGGTAGATATGGGATGACGAGATGAAAATTAAAAGTTTTAACTTCGCTACAAAAGGCACCCAATACAGTATATTTAGCAAGTAATAAAATACATCGGTGTTAGACACAGTACAATACTGAAATAATCATATTATTAATTGTAAATATATAATATATACATTTCGTTATAATGATGCGGATACTTAAATCTACAGACTAAAATGATCTACTTAAAAAAATATTAATAAATATCTACGAGCGTGTACAATTAAGTGACTATCGGTGTATCTTAAGGTACCGTGTTATATCCTTTATTATCGTCATTTAACTCGACATCCCAGATTCAAAAGTAACACCAAACAAAGAACCGTGGAGAAAATAGAGCATGATTTACTTTCGTCTCGCTTAGTCTCACTTTCGAAGAGCGGGATGCTCAGCCGGATGCACCGAATTCGTATGGCATGCTCACAGTTACTCGATCTCGATCCATCGAACGTTCGATAAATTTCGATTCTCGAAGATGAATCACGGTGTGTGATGGATATGATACTGATACAACTAAAAGTATGACTCGCAAATGAAAGTAAACAATACCGGGGAGGGTGCATCAGACTGTGTCGGGACATTAATTTTTCTCAGAACGAACTATCATCTACGGCTACGTTTTCTAAATACCTTCAATTTCTTCGATCGAACCCAGAATACGAACTTAACGGAATTTTGGTCACTAACCATAAGGTATCATTGAAAATACCTTGGCAGACCTTGGCAATAACAATGGCTTGATCGATTGACTCGCTTGGAAGCGGCGTAACAATACAGAATTATATAACGGGATAATTGCTGATTGCTACGTGGTTTTCTTTTCTTCGCTAGCTGACTATACGCGTGACTATACTGGTCGGAGCCGACTAACACAGGTGATTGCGTGTTCTCGATTGAACTTTTTTTTGATAGAACATGACGCAGTTACAGCATGACTATTCAGTTACAGCACAACGAGATTGTATATTGCGGCGATATACGAATTCCACTTTGTGCCACAAGCATCAGTCAACGAACCATAATCGAACCTGCACAGTTGGAAACCTGCTAAGCTTCCCGGATTGACATGAGAATTGCATGGAGCGTCTTCGGTGAAGCTTAACCTAAAAAAACTTTCCTAACAACGCGGTGAACCGCGAGAAAAAGTATCGCTTAAAAGTAAGTTGTTTCTTCTTTTTGTAAATAGCAAAAAAAAAAGAAAAGAAAAAAAAATACACACACACATGGAAAGAAAGAGACAGAAGAAGAAAAAGAGAGATGATAGAATTTGGCTTTCGTGTACAGGCCAGAGTTTTAGGTTTACATCTACAGGTGATAAAAGGTTTTACAAATGACTGACATAAAAAGAATATAATATTATATATATTTAATATATAATCTGGAAATAATATTTAGACTATCGATTATATTACTTGCGGCTATATCGTATAAACCTTTAATATTACATTATATTACAGAGTGGTATGTATGTGTGCGCATTGTCTTGACATTCCTGAAGGGATGCGTTCAGTTGTGGTCGAAAACGCATTCGACAAGGAAACCAACAATGATCTGGACAACTAATGGAATACCTGGGAAGAGAAGATGAAACGAGAACCAGCCTCCAGGTGTTTCATTAAGAAGAAAAAGAAAAAGATCTTGGCAAAATCTTCTCGATCTGCAACTTTACTTAACGATAACGTCTTCATTTCGTAGTAAGCGCGAACACAACGTGGACATGGAATATCGATATTTATTCACTACATATGTATAAATAAAGTATAAAAGTACCATAGACGAACGGTCGGTAAATTCAAGATAATATTCTCAGTCGCTGATTGATCAGGAATGCCAATGTTAATGAGAGTTAATGGCAACCGGTGCATGCTGTTTACGATACTGCAGCACAATGTGAAGCATGCAGCCATACACATATAGATTCTGTCGGAACACATCTGTATCTGTGATCGTTCTCTTGAGCACGTGATGAATTCGAGGAGATAGTATAAGAAAATACACGTCGCCGTTACTTCTGAAAAATCAATGGTTTATAAAATCCAGACGTGGCAACTATATATGCGATCGCCTAGATTTAATGAAATTCGAAGCGTATCAAAAGATAAATTCACTTGAAAGTTGAGCTCTTTGTTCGGGGCATAGGGTGTGTGTCGTGAATGTTTCGCGTGTATCTGCGTATGTATGTATACGTGTGCCTCTTTGCGAAGAGCTCTGAGCCACACAGATCAGAATTCGCTTGAAATATTTTGCAATGAACGCTCGTTACGGAACTCACGTGATAAGCGTAATGCAGCGATCTATCGGTTTGTGTTTACGGTGTTGTTACATGTCGTTTCATAGCTCGCGGTCATTTATCGAACTACGATTGCCCAAGAAAAATACGCGCTCTAGTACTCTCTATTCAGTTACACGTACGTGCGTAGTCGTCGCCACTTTTCAATGAAAAACTTTTATGTAATTCGAGTGAGACACGGCATTCACTATAAGACAACTTGCAAGTGAATCGACAACACGTATATATATATATATATATATATATATATATATATATATATATATATAAAATCTAATATTATCCGTCGCGCCTGAAATATTAAGGTGTACAGCTATATATATATATATATATATATATATATATATATATATATATATATAATATGTTATACTACATGTCAATATAATTATACAGTATGCAATGATATATATATATATATATATATATATATATATATATATATATATATAATATATATATACTCTTCTATATCAGAACCGTGCCGGCCTTTTCAGGGGTGGCACTTATAAATTAATGGACATGTCTTGGTCGTAAGGGGTGAGATTCGTGTCGGACGAAGAAGCCGAGGTAACTGTTGCTGTCGCGGTTGCGCTGGTCGGTGATTGAAGAGGTGTCGACGCCGTTGGTAGATGGGACGTGGGGCTTTCCAGAGTCGAGTTCCAGTGACTTCTCTCGGTTCCATCGCCACCATCATCCGAGACGATCGAGATATCGGCTATTATGCCGCTTTCTGCAATTCCATTGATATAACAATAATACATGAAGACTAAGTACGATATCTTTTTTCATATAAACAAACTTATACACGTACCAACGCTGCACTGACTGTTGAGCGTAGTACTACGATGATGAGGTCGAGGACTTGTGTCCAAGCCGAGATTCAACGTCGTCGGAGGTCCGCTACTTCCACCGCTACTCGATGACGAACTCACGGAAATTACACTGTGCGGCCTCCTGCTACAGCGTCCCGAGTCCTCTGACATTGATACTGCTATCGAGTTTCTAAATCTAGGTGCTGCTTAATGGCAAGGAATGAAATTAATAGCTTTGTTGATCAAACTCTCGTTTAAAATCATTCAAACAATCGTTCAAAATAGCCGATCGTACACTTACTTTTCGACAGTTGAGCTACACTGATCGAACGATCATTGATCTGATCCGCGCTAGGCCTAATGTCCAAACAAGGTTTATTTCCGATGCCCATGCTCGACATCTCTGCCAGGCGCACTTCTATCGTCAGAAAAGGTGTTCTCGTTACGTCGATCGGCTGGCAAACATAGCTGCGAAAAGCTATATTTCAAAACGCGGCATACCTCTGTTTCGCAGCGCCTGCTTCCATAAAAGGTTGCTCAGTTCCTCCGTCCAGGCTTTCTTAATGTCCTCGCTTGCACACTGCAATGTATACGTGTCGCCTGGCTTCCTCTTGCGGAACCAAATCTCGAACTTCGTAGGTGAGTCTGCGATCACGGCGGTCAACCCGATGTCCGTCGTTTTGATGCTGTGCTTGTAAATATAGATATCGAGATTCTGAAAAAAGAAAAAAGAAAAGAAAAGCAAGCGACCGTCGTCGTTTGTGTACAATGAAGCAGCTCGAGGAAACTACATACACAAGGTGGATAAAATCACCTTTCTATCGGGGAATCTCCTCGCTTTGCTGAATAGGATAAGATCTTCGAACAGGAAAACTTGTCGCAAGCACTTCTTCCCTTTACCCTGCCACACCAAGAATTCGTTTTGACGAAGCAGCCTACCCTGTTCCTTCACGTTCACCTACAATTTACATAAATTTTACCCTCTATAGAATCCCGTCACTATGACAAAGAACGCATTACATACACTTTCCATTGCCACTGTTGACACGACTGTCTCTTCTACTACATCATTATTAGTTAGTTTACAATACTCGCGTCGCTAGAATAGTATTTTATTTTAAATACGTAGACGTACGTCGCAATCTCGAAGGGAGTCCATCGCTAGCAGGTCGTTCCCGTGACGTAGTTGGAATCGTACCATCTGCTCGGCCGCCCTCAAGTCCGCCTCCCCCTCGACCATCGGCTTCATACCATCGTCTTTCTCGTCCTTTTCGTCTTTGCCGGACATTTGCTCCGAGAGATCGGTGCCCGCCTTCACCAGTTGCTGCAGCAACAACGCGTACTTTCCCATTCGTTGAACCGGCTTCAGTAGGTAACTAGCGAGGTCCATCTTGTCACCGAGCTCGAGCTGTTTCTGCTTGAAGAACGCGGTGCCATACTCGGCCATCAGAGAATCCGAGTTCGGTTTGTTCTTGTTGTACAGCGCATAAAGGTAGAATTTCTTCTCCTGCAGGGCAAACGTGCAGCGAAATTGGTGGTCAGAAGGAGATGAGTCCAAGAGAAGATCTAAGATAAATTGGATTTGAAAAAGAAAAGAAATATGTGGGCACTCACGTGTCTGAGGAAGCATTGTCCCACATTCATCGGCGACTGCTCGCACTGTTCCAGTTCCCGTAGGAAATGCTGACTGTGAAATTCGTATATCTTCTCGACGTTACCAAAGATCACGTTACGCTGCCCTCTCAGTGCCTGAGGAATGTCCTCCCGCACCAGCTCCGGGATATAATTCTTTGATGACAAACAATGATTTACGTTAAACGCGCAAGATTGGCGAAATTCAACGCGACGCATACGTTAGACGATACGAAGCGAAGCCAGACGTTACCTCTATTATGTACTCGAGGGACTTCACGTAGTCTCGTTCGGTCTGTATCATTTCCCTCATTATGAGCAGTATTGTTCTGCAAGGTGAAATTCCTCGTTAACCACGTTGCCGCGCACGTAACAATTCCGCATAATCGCACGATAGAATTATTATAGATAAGCATCGTTAGCAATGCTGAGCTAAGGAACACGGAAGAAGAATCGAAAACGTAACGTGAAATTCTCCTCTCTCATCTCTCACGCGGCATTTCAAACTCAGGCTTTATGTTCCTGGTGAAAGAAGTATTCTTAAGCAGAATATTAATAATCAGCCTTTGTAATAACAATCATGCTAATTATACGAAACTGACGAGATAGCAAAGGAAGATATTACTTTGAAATGGAACACAATTTTCATTACGTACTTTTTCGCCTTCATTCCAGGAGCAATGCTGGCTGCTCTGTGGAGGTGCGAGTTCACCGGTGGCTTGACCAGCCGTCTTGGAGCAGGGCTTCGGGGTGGCGTTCGCGGTGGAGAGCAATCGAGTAGCTGTTCGGCGCTCTCTCGAAGCTCCGCGATGTTGTCCAGTACCGGGCGACCGCCGCTTCCTGCCGATCCTACGCTCTCCATGGGACAAGCGTACGACGCGCTGCTGTCGCTGTCATCCCACGAAGCTCCTGGAACAATCGCCGCACATTGCGATAGAAACAGTTCTAAGCAACGAACGAGGTAAGTTAGAACGAATCTTGAAATATTTTCAGCTTGTACTCCTTTTGGCTTTATCTCGCCTATAATTTTCATATCGTGTTCCAAGCGTTAAACGAGGACAAGGTTATATAAATTATACATGGATGTTTATACGTTCTTTATACCTTCTATAATTAGTTCTTATCAATTTCAGGCTTAAAATACCGCGAGTATATCGCGAATGACAGATTATTTTAAATTATCCTTCTACGTCTAACAAAAACAACTCTATGTACACTGTTGCGTACAATAGCAAACAGTGCGAGTATAATAGATGATAAAGACCAGGAGGTTCACGTACTCTTCGTCAAACTGTCCTCCCAAGAGGTAGCAGACTCCGACGCTGCGAAGGATCTCCTTCTGGCAGGGCTGCCAGGTGCGGAAGTTGTCCTCGCCATCTCGAGCGCCTCCGCGCACTTGTTCCTAGCGATGCGGCATTGTTCCAGAAGGATCTCGTTACCGAGCTTCTCGGCGAGCGCCATCATTTCCGTGAAATGCTCGGGAGGAAGGGGTGGCCTGGCCATGAGGAACTGCTGAGCTCCCCGTTCGCCAGCGAGGCGAGCCTCCTGGGCCCACTCGTACGCCCGGTCTTGAAGCAGGCAACATCTCGACGTGTCTTCGAGGTACTCGCGCCTGTCCTCCAGTCGGGAACCGAATCCTCGAAGGTGATGCTTCAAGGATCTCGCGAGTTCACGAAGTCCGCTCGCACTCGCCGCCTCGGCAAGGTCGCTCCCCTTATCAAGATGTCTCTGCAACATAAAATCACAGTTCCATGATACGCCACTGTTATTCGCCAATTGTCGTGCCAAGAAAGTCCGGCAGTACAATGAAATTTACATTAAAGCAGACACAAAAGATTCTCAGACCTTCTAGGACCTGCGAAATCCCTGAAGAATATAAATGTTACTCGGAAGTAGAGACGAGGTCAATTGAATTCTATGCGAATTATCGAACGAACTGCAATCGCATTTTGAATAAACGTCGAATTGTACAATTGTATAGTTGTATAATTGTATGTATTCTTTACGGTCGATATAATGATCAATTCGGAAATGATTTAGTAATTTTTTAAATACTCCTTTGCTCGTTGAAAAGGAATTTATATGAAGGTTATAGTTACACGTGGATTTATATTAAAAATAATTCAATTACACTATTCATATACACCAAGTGTATATCTACGTATATACATTGAACCACTGCACGACTATGAGAAGATTGATTACTATAAAACAAAGAGATAAAGCAAACAGTCATGTGATCCATGCTGTTTGTGGGTTTATTGTTTCTCCTCGGATGTAATAGAACCAGAACTGTGTTTGTTCAGATTTGCCATGAATACAATATTGTGCGTGTAAACACACGAAAGTATTTCATCGGCTGGCCGTAACAAAAGGGAACAATAAAGACCCTACTACTTCTTCGGTGGAAACGATATCCTGTTCTGAGCGAATCGAACTGGAACTCCCGCGGTGTACTAGGGAACCGTGCCTAATGGCGGGACTATAAATCGACATATGGGGAAAGGAACGCAGCGATGAGCGAGGGAGCTCGTGCTCTTCGCTACAGGACATTGTCTATTTGTGCACGGAAGCGAACGGGAGACTGTTTACACAAAACAGCCTGCGCTTCATCTGCAGGGTGTCGTCCGTCTATGGCGAGCCATTCGATCGTGAGAAACGACTCAACGAATGACTCGAAATTTATAATAAACGATGATAATTTAATGAAATTGGGGGAAAAATGAGATGTAGAAAGATGTTCATATTTCAAAAATTTATAATATGCGTCCGTCAATGTACGAAGCTGATATTTAAAACATTTCGATTTTGTACGAGAAACAAATCTGGTCCGAGCTGCCGATTTTCAATAGGTGCATACGTCTCGTTGGGACAACTACCGATACCCTTTTCCACGCGTGCAATATGTAGCGGCAACCGTGGAAGCGTGAAATCCCTTTCGACATGGATCGGTAACATCCTGGAACAAGGACGATCTCGATGGAGTGACCGTGACGAAAATGCATCAAGCCTCACGGTACACGAAACGGATCAGATATGGTCAGATTATAAACTAGATAGATAGCTTGTGCAACTGTTCGGCTTGTAATACAA